TCTATAGTCTAGTCTATAGTCTAGTCTATAGTCTAGTCTATAGTAGTCTATAGTCTAGTCTATAGTCTAGTCTATAGTCTAGTCTATAGTCTAGTCTATAGTCTAGTCTATAGTCTAGTCTATAGTCTAGTCTATAGTCTAGTCTATAGTCTAGTCTATAGTCTAGTCTATAGTCTAGTCTATAGTCTAGTCTATAGTCTAGTCTATAGTCAGTCTATAGTCTAGTCTATAGTCTAGTCTATAGTCTAGTCTATAGTCTAGTCTATAGTCTAGTCTATAGTCTAGTCTATAGTCTAGTCTAGTCTATAGTCTAGTCTATAGTCTAGTCTATAGTCTAGTCTATAGTCTAGTCTATAGTCTAGTCTATAGTCTAGTCTATAGTCTAGTCTATAGTCTAGTCTATAGTCTAGTCTATAGTCTAGTCTATAGTCTAGTCTATAGTCTAGTCTATAGTCTAGTCTATAGTCTAGTCTATAGTCTAGTCTATAGTCTAGTCTATAGTCTAGTCTATAGTCTAGTCTATAGTCTAGTCTATAGTCTAGTCTATAGTCTAGTCTATAGTCTAGTCTATAGTCTAGTCTATAGTCTAGTCTATAGTCTAGTCTATAGTCTAGTCTATAGTCTAGTCTAAGTCTAGTCTATAGTCTAGTCTATAGTCTAGTCTAAGTCTAGTCTATAGTCTAGTCTATAGTCTAGTCTATAGTCTAGTCTATAGTCTAGTCTATAGTCTAGTCTATAGTCTAGTCTATAGTCTAGTCTATAGTCTAGTCTATAGTCTAGTCTATAGTCTAGTCTATAGTCTAGTCTATAGTTAGCTAGTCTATAGTCTAGTCTATAGTTTAGTCTATAGTCTAGTCTATAGTCTAGTCTATAGTCTAGTCTATAGTCTAGTCTATAGTCTAGTCTATAGTCTAGTCTATAGTCTAGTCTATAGTGGCCTAGTTAATTTTCTAGTCTATAACACAGTATATAGCCCTCTCTATAATCCAGTACATAGTCTGATATATAATTTAGTCTAGCCTATAGTCTAGTATATAGTCGGGTATATAGCCAAGTCTACAGCCTAGTTATAAATCTAGTATAGAGTCTATATATTTGGAACTCTATTTCTATAATCTAGTCTATAGTCTAGTCTATAGTCTAGCCCATAGTCCTAGTCTATAGTCCTAGTCTATAGTGTAGTCTATAGTCTAGTCTATAGTCTAGTCTATAGTCTAGTCTATAGTCTAGTCTATAGTCTAGTCTATAGTCCTAGTCTATAGTCTAGTCTATAGTCTAGTCTATAGTCTAGTCTATAGTCTAGTCTATAGTCTAGTCTATAGTCTAGTCTATTAGTCTAGTCTATAGTCTAGTCTATAGTCTAGTCTATAGTCTAGTCTATAGTCTAGTCTATAGTCTAGTCTATAGTCTAGTCTATAGTCTAGTCTATAGTCTAGTCTATAGTCTAGTCTATAGTCTAGTCTATAGTCTAGTCTATAGTCTAGTCTATAGTCTAGTCTATAGTCTAGTCTATAGTCTAGTCTATAGTCTAGTCTATAGTCTAGTCTATAGTCTAGTCTATAGTCTAGTCTATAGTCTAGTCTAGTCTATAGTCTAGTCTAGTCTATAGTCTAGTCTATAGTCTAGTCTATAGTCTAGTCTATAGTCTAGTCTATAGTCTAGTCTATAGTCTAGTCTATAGTCTAGTCTATAGTCTAGTCTATAGTCTAGTCTATAGTCTAGTCTATAGTCTAGTCTATAGTCTAGTCTATAGTCTAGTCTATAGTCTAGTCTATAGTCTAGTCTATAGTCGGGTATATAGCCAAGTCTACAGCCTAGTCATAAATCTAGTATAGAGTCTATATATTTGGAACTCTATTTTTTTGCATTTAATTTAATTAATTTGACTTCCTGTTAAAAACACCATATTTATATAGATTAAAATCGTGTAAAAAGTATTGAACACAAATTTAAAATAAATCATTTAAAAATAATTATTTTTAATTGTGTTACAAATTATAATTTATGTGTTTTTTTTTTTTGTCCCCCTGCGAGTCCATCCGTGTTTTCTAATAGATTATTATCATTGTCTATGTGTGGACAATTAATTAAATAGTTGTATCTAAAGTAAATTATTAACAATATAACTTGGTAACACATCCAATTGTTTAATAGAAAAAAAAACAAAAACAATGTTCAATTAAAGGACAATACAAAAGTACTTAGTTAATAATTATGAAATCGTGTCCTTAATGTGTTATTAATTAAGAAATGTAATAGAAAAAAATAATTATTCGGGTAATTAAAATGTAAGTTAAACTTTGTTTAACAAAGGGTTTAATTAAACGGAATATGTCAAAGTTATTCAGACTAAATGATTAATTCATTACTTTAAATAATAATTTAAAATTCTTTTAAACTAAAACAACATAAATTTCCCTGTAATAATAAACTTTTTTTAAACAGGTCATGTTTAAACAATAAATTATTATGTCGGTCTGTTATTTAAACATTCCGCAACCCACCCTTGACTTTTCCCTTTTCAGTACCACCCATTTTCTATAACATTAGCCCCTGTCTAACGTTAAATAGTATTGAGTAGTATTGGTATGTTGATAAAATATATAGATTGATCCATTATTAAAATACAATTTATAACAATTTATGAAAAAACAATAGAAAAAGTGTGAATGTTATTAATTTATACATATTGTTAAAAGGACATTAAGTATATTGCTGGACTTTTATCAAGACAAGGCTATAACACCTTGCACCTCTAAAGCAGTCATATAATGATGAACGAGCTAAAGATATTAGTTTATTGTCAGTTTGTATTAGACAATAGTACGGGAAACAAGCTGTAAATTTCATAAACACAGGAAATTTTGTTGTTATTTCGTTTTAAATAATACAATAACAATTATTATTAAACTAAAATAAAAAAATTTGAATTTATATAAAAAATGTACTACATACATATTAACCTGCTAACAGAGTGTTTTAAAAAGAAAAGCTATTTAAATTAGTCTATGGATTTTTTTAAAGAACAAATTGTCCATTATAAATCTAGACTAAATTGTAGACTGGACTATAGACTAGACTATAGACTAGACTATAGACTAGACTATAGACTAGACTATAGACTAGACTATAGACTAGACTATAGACTAGACTATAGACTAGACTATAGACTAGACTATAGACTAGACTATAGACTAGACTATAGACTAGACTATAGACTAGACTATAGACTAGACTATAGACTAGACCATAGACTAGACTATAGACTAGACTATAGACTAGACTATAGACTAGACTATAGACTAGACTATAGACTAGACTATAGACTAGACTATAGACTAGACTATAGACTAGACTATAGACTAGACTATAGACTAGACTATAGACTAGACTATAGACTAGACTATAGACTAGACTATAGACTAGACTATAGACTAGACTATAGACTAGACTATAGACTAGACTATAGACTAGGACTATAGACTAGACTATAGACTAGACTATAGACTAGACTATAGACTAGACTATAGACTAGACTATAGACTAGACTATAGACTAGACTATAGACTAGACTATAGACTAGACTATAGACTAGACTATAGACTAGACTATAGACTAGACTATAGACTAGACTATAGACTAGACTATAGACTAGACTATAGACTAGACTATAGACTAGACTATAGACTAGACTATAGACTAGACTATAGACTAGACTATAGACTAGACTATAGGACTAGACTATAGACTAGACTATAGACTAGACTATAGACTAGACTATAGACTAGACTATAGACTAGACTATAGACTAGACTATAGACTAGACTATAGACTAGACTATAGACTAGACTATAGACTAGACTATAGACTAGACTATAGACTAGACTATAGACTAGACTATAGACTAGACTATAGACTAGACTATAGACTAGACTATAGACTAGACTATAGACTAGACTATAGACTAGACTATAGACTAGACTATAGACTAGACTATAGACTAGACTATAGACTAGACTATAGACTAGACTATAGACTAGACTATAGACTAGACTATAGACTAGACTATAGACTAGACTATAGACTAGACTATAGACTAGACTATAGACTAGACTATAGACTAGACTATAGACTAGACTATAGACTAGACTATAGACTAGACTATAGACTAGACTATAGACTAGACTATAGACTAGACTATAGACTAGACTATAGACTAGACTATAGACTAGACTATAGACTAGACTATAGACTAGACTATAGACTAGACTATAGACTAGACTATAGACTAGACTATTGACTAAACTGAGACTAGACTGTAATTCGACCGTAGACTAGACTGTAGACTCAACTATGAACTGGACTATGGTCTAAATTATAGACCAGACCATGGACTAGACTATAGACTACACTATAGACTGTAGGCTAGACTATAGCCTAAACATAGAACAGATCTTGAACTTGACTATAAACTAGACTATAGGCTAGGCTATAGACTAAACTATATACTTGACTATAGACTAGACTATAGACTGGACTATATACTAGACTATAGACTAGACTATAGACTATACTATAGACTGGACCAAAGAATAGATTATAAACTAGACTACAGAATAGTTTATAGTCTAGTCTAAAGGGCTTTTTTGAAGAATGTTTCTCAAAATCTTAAATTTTTCTTAGAATATTCTTCAAATTCTATTTAAGTTACACTTTTTATTGTCGCACCCTTTTAGTTCTAGTTGTTTACCAATAGAGATACAAGTTTTAAGATAAAGTTTAATTATAAAAATTTAAAAAATAAATTTAGAAAAAAAACATGAATTAAATAAAATGCAAATAATAGAATCGTTTCATTGAACTTATAAGTACGTGTTGTGGCGGTATTAAAAAGCAACGGTACTTTATACATTTTATTGTAAATTTATTATATTTTCGATTAGTAATATTATATTAATAAGGGTTCCTTAATAATCTTATATGGTGTTTTTTAATTCCAGTTAAACATAATTAAACACTTCTGATGTTATCACTTATAAATGGCGCCAAATTCTGAACTAACCTCAACAATTATGGAAACACCTGTAGAACAAATGTCAACGAATACGGATAAATTTATAGTGAAATATCGTAAAAATTATTATGATATATCGGAATTTCTACACAAACATCCGGGAGGTATTAACACTCTTAAAGGTTTACAAAATGCCGATATGACAAATCGTTTTATGAAAGCCCCGCCACACTCGGATGCTGCCATGTATTTAATGCAGGAATATAAAATTGGAGCCCAGGAAACAAAGTCTCAAACGAACAAATTAAATGGTCATATAAGAACAGAATTAAAGGAAAATATAGAAATTATAGAAGAATATGAACATGATGACAATAATAACAGCCGAAGTGATAAAAACAGTAGCAGCAGCAGCGGTCTAATTGATGAAAGTATGGAGGTAAGTTTTGGGGTGGAATTAACTATTTAAAGTATTCACCTGTTAAGACTTTGCTGGTTATAAATGATTCATTGTGGTCGTTTCTTATCAGTCCCATGTTAACACTTTTATAACGTTTATTTAACTAACCGGGTATTCTAAAAAACTCTAGTTCAATAATATATCATTAAACGTAAATATTTAATATATTTTGTTGTTGTTGTCTAAATACTATAACTAAGTCTTTCCTTTACCTACTTTAGGCGTTTGTTTGACAGATAAGATAACATCCGATAAATTGCAATTTTAAGGTTGGTTGCTATTTAATGTAGACTAGAATACGCAAACTACTATAGTTTATAGTGGTCTGGTGTACTACATGTTTTTAACATGTTGTAAAATGTTATTCAATATCTTGAAAATAGAATTTTTTAACCGACTTATAATACAACATGTTGACAATAATTCATGTACTTAAATCATGTCTATTGAAGTGATATCATCAACTCTTTATATTTATTTGTTTTGCATATAATTCTACTTCAATTGAAGGAGAAACATGTAATAATATCTGGGCGAATATGTTGTTGAAATAGGAGGGTAGTTTAAGAAGTTTAGTGCAAAAACTGTGGAGAATTCATCATGAAATCTCTCCGGTTCTCGGAATATTTCTAAAAGAAAACTCTTGCAGAAAACTTTCGAATTCTGAAACTATAGACTAGACTATAGACTAGACTATAGACTAGACTATAGACTATAGACTAGACTATAGACTAGACTATAGACTATAGACTAGACTATAGACTAGACTATAGACTAGACCATAGACTAGACTATAGACTAGACTATAGACTAGACTATAGACTAGACTATAGACCAGACTATAGACTAGACTATAGACTAGACTATAGACTAGACTATAGACTAGACTATAGATTAAACTATGGACTAGACTATAGACTAGACTATAGACTAGACTATAGACTAGACTATAGACTAAACTATATACTAGACAATAGACTAGACTATATACTAGACTATAGACTAGACTATAGACTAGACTATGGACTAGGCTATAGACTAGACTATAGACTAGACTATGGACTAGACTATATACTAGACTATAGACTAGACTATAGACTAGACTATAGACTGGACTATAGACTAGACTATAGACTAGACAATAGACTAGACTATAGACTAGACTATAGACTAAACTATAGACTAGACTATAGACTAGACTATAGACTAGACTATAGACTAGACTATAGATTAGACTATAGACTAGACTATAGACTAGACTATAGACTAGACTATAGACTAGACTATAGACTAGACTATAGACTAGACTATAGACTAGACTATAGACTAGACTATAGACTAGACTGTAGACTAGACTATAGACTAGACTATGGACTAGACAATGGACTAGACTATAGACTAGACTATAGACTAGACTAGACTAGACTATAGACTAGACTATAGACTAGACTATAGACTAGACTATAGACTAGACTATAGACTAGACTATAGACTAGACTATAGACTAGACTATAGACTAGACTATAGACTAGACTATAGACTAGACTATAGACTAGACTATAGACTAGACTATAGACTAGACTATAGACTAGACTATAGACTAGACTATAGACTAGACTATAGACTAGACTATAGACTAGACTATAGACTAGACTATAGACTAGACTATAGACTAGACTATAGACTAGACTATAGACTAGACTATAGACTAGACTATAGACTAGACTATAGACTAGACTATAGACTAGACTATAGACTAGACTATGACTAGACTATAGACTAGACTATAGACTAGACTATAGACTAGACTATAGACTAGACTATAGACTAGACTATAGACTAGACTATAGACTAGACTATAGACTAGACTATACTAGACTATAGACTAGACTATAGACTAGACTATAGACTAGACTATAGACTAGACTATAGACTAGACTATAGACTAGACTATAGACTATAGACTAGACTATAGACTAGACTATAGACTATAGACTAGACTATAGACTAGACTATAGACTAGACTATAGACTAGACTATAGACTAGACTATAGACTAGACTATAGACTAGACTATAGACTAGACTATAGACTAGACAATGGACTAGACTATAGACTAGACTATAGACTAGACTATAGACTAGACTATGGACTAGACAATGGACTAGACTATAGACTAGACTATAGACTAGACTATAGACTAGACTATAGACTAGACTATAGACTAGACTATAGACTAGACTATAGACTAGACTATAGACTAGACTATAGACTAGACTATAGACTAGACTATAGACTAGACTATAGACTAGACTATAGACTAGACTATAGACTAGACTATACTAGACTATAGACTAGACTATAGACTAGACTATAGACTAGACTATAGACTAGACTATAGACTAGACTATAGACTAGACTATAGACTAGACTATAGACTAGACTATAGACTAGACTATAGACTAGACTATAGACTAGACTATAGACTAGACTATAGACTAGACTATAGACTAGACTATAGACTAGACTATAGACTAGACTATAGACAAGACTATAGACTAGACTATAGACTAGACTATAGACTAGACTATAGACTAGACTATAGACTAGACTATAGACTAGACTATAGACTAGACTATAGACTAGACTATAGACTAGACTATAGACTAGACTATAGACTAGACTATAGACTAGACTATAGACTAGACTATAGACTAGACTATAGACTAGAATAGACTAGACTATAGACTAGACTATAGACTAGACTATAGACTAGACTATAGACTAGACTATAGACTAGACTATAGACTAGACTATAGACTAGACTATAGACTAGACTTTAGACTAGACTATAGACTAGACTATAGACTAGACTATAGACTAGACTATAGACTAGACTATAGACTAGACTATAGACTAGACTATAGACTAGACTATAGACTAGACTATAGACTAGACTATAGACTAGACTATAGACTAGACTATAGACTAGACTATAGACTAGACTATAGACTAGACTATAGACTAGACTATAGACTAGACTATAGACTAGACTATAGACTAGACTATAGACTAGACTATAGACTAGACTATAGACTAGACTATAGACTAGACTATAGACTAGACTATAGACTAGACTATAGACTAGACTATAGACTAGACTATAAGACTAGACTATAGACTAGACTGTAGACTAGACTATAGATTTTGAGACAGATTTTATAATCTTTGTATCCCCTGAAATTTACAGTAATTATTGTTTTTCCGCTCTTCTTTTTCATTTCGTTTCGTGTCATATGTTTTATTTCTTTAATTTAAATTTGTTTTTGTTGTATTACAAAGTAAAAAATAATCTACATAAAATTCTTTCTAAATTATTAAAGGAAAGAGAGGTATTTGTTTATATATTTCATTGGTATTTCCTTAAGGAAATACAAATAAATAATATTTACAATGGATATAAGAAACCTTTAACGGTGTTATGGAATGATTTAATATAATGTTTACCTTCCTTTTTCTTTAGCACGTGTGTGTGAATCCATTTCACAAATAATAGTTATTAATATGACTAATACTGCATGGGTGTTTCCGCAATATAAACCTTAGGTTTGGAGTACAAACGTATGTCTAATTCGAGTTGTGTTAATTCTTTTTCAATTTCAACTTTACGCTGACGTATACGTAGAGTTTCGGTGGTCATGGGCATGTGATTAAGTTCGTTAATGAGAGAGGACATTTCTAAAAAAAAGGAAGGGATGTTAAAAAGATATAAATATGAAGCTTAAAAAGTCTTACTTTGTTGAGCCTTGTGTAGAGCTTTTAAACGTTCCTCTTCTGTTAGGGCATAGTGTCCTAAAGGACAGTTTGGATCTTTAGTTAATTCACGCATACGTTCCTCTTCCTTTTCACGTTTTTCTTTTTCCAAATAGCGTGGCAAGCGCACATCTTCGCGACCTATTAATTACGAAATAAATTAAAAAAAAATTGTTTTTTAATGTTTCGCTAAGTTTTATACTTACATCCCAATTTGTGTATACTTCTTTTGGTACTGGTGGAACACATAGTCTGACGACTTCTGGCACTTGATAACGGTTCTGGTTCTATTCTTTCATGGCCATTCATTTTTAAATTTTGAAAATGTTTTTCTAAATCCTCTTCAATTCCGTTAAACATTTCATTTTCTTGCTCTGCCGTACGATGGTGTCCATTTGAAATGTGAGTATTTTGGGATCTTGTTGTGAATTGCATTTGTTGATCATGTTGGTGCTTATGGTCCTCGTAATGATCGTGATAATTATAGGGAGCTCGTTCAACAGAATGTATAGATTTTGTCTCGGGTTCATATTGTTGTAAAGTGTAATTTGATTGGGATCGTTGTTGATTGTTGTGTGAGTCATGGAGTTGATCGTTAGATTTTTGTTTATATAGATGATGAACTTCAGATGAACTGCACCTAAAGATGATGAAATGTTTATTGATTTTTTTGATAAAATCTAGACAGAAAATCTCTTAGAATCTAAGGGACTATAGACTAGACTATAGTCTAAACTATATACTAGACTATAAACTGGACTAATGACTGGATTATTGCCTGGAGTATATACTGGACTATTAACTAGACTAGAGGATAAACAGTTTTGTACTATTGAACTTACTTCTTTAAGGCCTCATACAAAAAATCTTCATCATGTATATCTTCCGTTTGTATTTCCTTATCACAAGATTCAGCTTTGGATACAATCGATATTGCACTCGCACTACGTGGCATGCGTTCCCTATATTGTGTTTCTCTCTCTTGATTTTGTCTTTGCGTATGATTGCACGAACAGCTGGTTTGTAGATTCTCCACACTTTGCCGCTGTTGGCTATAAGCTCGCCGTAAACCCAAATAATTGGGTTTTCCTCTTATTGTGGGTACTCCAGCTGCACAACCACCTCCACCGGCCACACCAATTGCCCCATTTGCCCCTACAGTTTGTAAATTCTCTACACTTTGCCTTTGCTGACTATAAGCCCGTCTTAAACCTAAATAATTAGGTTTACCTCTTATTGTGGGAACACCTGCGGCTACACCAATTCCTTCATTTCTAGATTGGCTGCCGCCATTACACTCCAGATTTCTACACTGCGAAGCTGATCTTCGTGGAGCCAAGGGGGTTTGTTCTTGTGTTTTGTGAAATCTTTGCAAATGTTTATTCTGTTTCCTTTCATAGTCCTGCTTTTGTTGCGTTAACTTGTGGGTGGTGTTCTTTTGCAATTCACGTAAATTTAATTTATTCTCTCGCAAAAAGTCACGTCTATGATTCATTTCTATTTGTTTAATAATTTATAGAAATTTTAATTAGTTAATAAAGTAAAATTTCTCTTTAATTACTTTTTATTTTAATGTTTGACCGTTTTTGGTTACCTTGGGCAACCTGCCTTTGACATGTCACCTGTATTTTATACTTACTGGGCTGTTCAAACACTCCTCTTAAGGTTTGCAAAGACTTGAATGATGTTTGTGTTCTGGTGGTCATTGTTTTTATTGTTTTCTATTAGTCTGTTATGTTCGTGTGTTTAAAAATTATAAAAAAATATATTATTTTATGTTTTTTTTTTTATTAATCAAACAGTTTTTTAAAAAGAATTTCAAAAAATACCTTAAATTTTGACATTTAGTATTTGTTTTGTTTTTCTTTGTGGCACAGTTGTTGTGTTAAGGCAGGGTTGTATTTTGTAGTAGTAAAAAGTATTGTTAGTACTAAATGTTAACAGTACTGTTAAGTTAAGCTATAAAAAAGTAACTAACGACTCAAATACATATAAAACAATTTGTTAGTTTTTTTAGCCAATTGGAAGATTTTTATCGGATATAGACGGAAAATAGTCAGATTGACAGCGTTTAAATGATTTTGTTTGTTTATTTAAGAGTTTTTTGTTTTTCTCTTTTCCAGCACTTAGTTGATTGGTCGCAGGCAATGTTACCGCAAATTCCCCGTATAACACAATACTATGATGACTGGGTGCATAAACCGGTAGATAGGCCTCTAAGGCTATTCGCACCCTGGTATTTGGAAATGTGTACGAAAACTCCCTGGTGGTTGGTGCCCACTTTTTGGCTGCCCGTCATAACAAAACTAATATACAATGAATTTATACATGATATACAAAGGCAAAATACTTTAAAGGTAATAACGAAAGTTAACAAATAAAGGCTTAATAACTAAATTAATCCCTTTACTTTGCAGTTAACCCTCTTAACCCTGTACTTTTTAGTGGGCATATTATTTTGGACATTTCTGGAGTATGCTCTGCATCGTTATGTCTTTCATATGGAAGTCAAGCCGAATAGCCATCCTGCACTATGTACTTTACATTTTATGATACACGGTTTACATCATAAGGTGCCCTTTGATCCCATGCGTTTGGTATTTCCTCCACTGCCGGGTGTTATTTTAGCTACTATAGTTTATGCTCCTTTATCGTTAGTATTACCTCGTCCTCGGGTAATATTGGCAGGTGCTTTATTTGGTTATTTATGCTATGATATGATCCACTATTATTTACACTATGGTAGTCCTAGTGTTAAACATTTATATCACATGAAACGTTATCATTATCAACATCATTTTGCCCATCAAAATATGGGCTATGGTATCTCGAGTCCTTTATGGGATTTTGTTTTTAATACAAGAATACATTTAAGAAAGTTAAGGTTTCATTTAAAGTGGAAATAAATCATGATAGTTTTTTAGAATCTAATTTAAATGTAATCGGAAATGTAGGAGATTTCAATTTTATTCTTTAATTGATTTCTAAATTATATAGAAGGAAGTAAATTGTTCCTTTTTTTATTAAATTTTTATTATTTAGTTTTTACTTTGTTATAGTTTTATATAAATTGAATTCCTAAACATTCCCGTTTATATTTACCGTCTGTTTATTGTTTATCGAAAGAATAGTGAATAAAAATCATTCACTTTTTCTTCGAGTTCAAGTTATAGACCGTAATTTTAGGTAGTTTGTAAGTTGTTACTTATTTAAG